GGGGTCCAATAGGGTTTGGCACAAAGAGCTTCAATGGGTTATTTTTGTATCATATCGAAGAGTTGACAATGAAGACAGATGATCATTTTAATAAAATAAATGCACTTAAAAATACTAAGAACTCTTTTATTACCTTTTTTTTTGTTTTAAAAACATTGTACTTGCATAACATTGGCATGAGATGAGTTTAAATTGAGTAACATGGTCAGTGAGGATCTTTAGACGACCCCGGCTTGTTTGGGACTGAGGTGTAGTTGTTGTTGTTGTTATATTGATTTGAAAAGCACTCAACTACTTTACTGCAAGCTATTGAAAAGAAATCAAAATTTCTAACTACATAACAAAAATAAAAGGAACAATAATTTCATCTTAAATTTGAATGACCAAACGAAACTGACAAATTAATATTGATCAAGTCGACACTGACAAACTTTTGCGGGCTATAAGATGACTTCTTGATTAAGAAAACAACCGGTCCTCAAAAGAAAAGTAAAATTTAGTTCAATGGCACAATGTCATTTAACTTAATATGAAGAAAAATAAGGCAAAGGAAGGATCTGCTATCTGGATCAAAGAAGCTAAATTTGTTTCTTTCCACATTATACTTTCCCCCGGAAGCAAGGGGGTGAAAAAACTTTCTTAGATCGATTAAAGTTGTACCACAAATACTTCTAGGAAATTGCTCGGGTTTGGTACTATTTTAAAACAAAGAACTTGAACATATACACTTGGTTATCTCAATCGCCAAATAGCCAGCACTAAAAAATGGCTCAATATACCAGTGCTCCATCTCTGGAAACTGAAAATGTTCAATCATTAGGTGTTGAATAACACATTCTGGAGGAGTTTAACCCAAATTTGAAATTCAAAATAGTTAATTTGTTTATTTGTTCTAGGTTTTTTATTTTGAAGACATTATAATCAGACATTAAAATAATTTCACATTTGATATACATGAATATAAGAAATCAATGATTTGCACCTAAAAGTTGCCAGAGGACAAAAAAAAGTAGCATTCACCAAAATTACAGGGGAGAGTGAAATTAGTAACTGGAGCAGGAACATCCACAAGTTGAAGGGACTTGCACACAAATGCCAAATTGATCAACTCCAAGAAAGAAAGTCAAACTCATACTAACAATGACAGCGGCTAAACTTACAGATCGCTTATCGAAGTAAACGAATCCAATGGTGGAGCTACCTTTCCTGGATAGGGCTATCCTCTCTACCTGAGATATATTAACCACATGTATGGAAGATGTCATCAGAGTTCAATTTTTTTGAAATTTTTAATGCAACTAATAGGCGAAACATCAAAATGAAGTTGCAAGGTATAATACATTGCCAAAGGGCTGAAAGAGCTTCTTTAAGTAATCTTCATCAGCACCAGGAGGTAAGTTTCTAACGAAGGCTGCTTTGATCTGACAATCCAAACGAAGGTAAGGTGAAAATAACAGAAATCTAAGGATTTTCATTCTATAAGTATCGTAAAAGGGAAGAGAGGAAAAAACCTGAGCAAGTTCATTGGGATCAGGTTCCTCAGCCCACTGTACAGATGGATGTAACTTGCCATCAATGAGAAAATCAGATTGGGAGCCTACCCGAAAAGCACGAGCCGCAGCCTGTGATTGAGAATTTTGAAGGAAGTTTATATTTGGGATCTTACAGGATTGTTTTCATTAGAGTAGCATATTCATAATGGGGTGGAAGTATTGGATTTTATTGAATTATTTATTTGGCAGGGACCAATGATTACAGCACTATATTCAAGAGTTTTGGGCAACAAGACGGTGAAGCAGTTTGAGTGGAGAAGACAAGGACAAATTATTTGAAGTATGAATTAATACATATTCCTTCTGCTCTGATTCTTACCGAAGATTTTGAACTATGAACTTGCACAGCAAGATACAGTAATTTTAGCTCGGGAAAGGCAACAGATTAAAGGCCAAATGAGGGTTCCAATCCACCATGAAGATATTTTGACCCAACTTGCCGTAAATTGAGCAGATTACATAATCATATGAAGTTGGTTAAGTTCATAGTCGAGGATTAACAAAATTTCGTTTCTCACTTACAAGCTATCTCAAATCCTATAGAGGCTGACACAGAGGTTGACATTATAGCATCGAAGATGAGTTTTTTTTTTTGACAAATGACATTGAGACTGGGATTTATGGATATTAGCATTTCTTTGTTATTTCAGCAACACTATGCCTTAATCCTAAACTAGCTGGGATCGGTATATTAAATCCTCTGTATCTTATAATAAATCAGAAAATAAGAGCTAATATCCATAAGATCATAGCTTCATTTAAGATTAACAATTGTTCTAGAACTACTTAGGTACAATTGAATCATTAATGACTAAGAATCTACAAGTTTATTAACAGCTAGAAGAATCAAGAAAATAACAGAAAACATTGATTCCAGAATGTAACTTCAACAGAGTGCCTATTTACACATTTTTTTTTGAGCATTATCTATGTAAAACATGAAAATATTATAGACAAGACCAGGAATCAACATAAAAAGACATACTGTGCAACGATATTAAAGAGTTGGTTTGGTTCTCCCTGCATTTCAAAATTAATATCTAGTTATGACTTGGCACTGGTAGGCCTGGGCAAAGATACAGAGGTTTGAAGCTGGAAAAATGGGTTTGAAGCTGGAAAAATGTAAGGATCTTTCTCTTTTTCTTTTCCCTGGAAAAATGTGTTGGCCCGTTAAGAACTCACATATCCAGAAGATGAAAGTAGCAGAAATGAGGATGTTGCGGTGGATGTGCGGGCACACTAGGATAGATAAGATTAGGAATGATGATATTCGGGAGAAGGTGCATGTGGCTCCCATTGATGACAAGATGCGGGAAGCGAGGCTTAGATGGTTCNGCCTCTCTACTCCTTCGGGGTAGGGGTAAGGTCTGCGTACACACTACCCTCCCCAGACCCCATTAGTGGGATTTTACTGGGTTGTTGTTGTTTTGGCGGAATTGGAGTAAAATTACCTTTTAGGAAAAGCGAGAGTTACTTTGAACAGACAACAAAACAAAGATTGAGACTCGGCTTAGGACCTAGGAGCACTATATTATCATGTTATAAGGAAATTAAGTAAATTGTCCACAGTAGGCATAAAAATTGGTTTTCAATAGGAAAAGTCAAGTAAATAATTCAAGAATATGGGTAGAAAATTGGACAGCTTTTATAAGCTTGAATTCTTAACACATGTGAATAATATTTGGACTTTTACATTGGTCAAATAATATTTGGTATATTCTATTTGTATAAGTATGTCAGACATTTGAAATATCCCCAAGAGAGAGTATGTGACTGAAAGAAATTGAAGCAACTGGTCAAGCTAACTGGATGGGTTATAACAAAGGCTAGAGAATCTAGACAACTAATAGCAAGAGGAAATAGGTCAAGATCCAGAGAAAAGAACAGTGTGACCTAAAGTATGAGAAAAATACAATAAGTTACTGCATAGAAACTCCAAGTATGTGAAATGATATTGTTAATATCATACTCCAGGAAAATATTGTTTGTCATGGAATCCGTGAGAGAGACAGCCGGCAGCAAAGGAGCCCAATAGCAGTAAGAGACAGACCATTTTCACAACGTAGAATAACTACTAGAAAAGGAAGTTCAAACTGAGAGAAAACAGTTTAAAACCTCAAGCAGATTACGAGTGTTAGACAACATAATTCATCTTCTCCCAACCAACATATATCAAAGAGACATATCTTCTCCTCAATAGTGATAATACACATAGCTTCTTGTTGGAATATTTGCACGACCATGAGATATATAGAAGAATAGCTTGTGCATTTGAAATTTTTTCACAGGAATCTTTAAAGTCCGCTTAGATACTTGTATGCCACTATAGGGAGAAGTGTAAAATTTAAATAACATTTAGTTATAGAGAATCTCTACTTAAAAATCAACCCAAATAAAATGAAAGGGATATAGAGGATTCATACGAGATATAGTTGATTGATACGAGATATACAGACATTTATATCTACCAATTATATCAGTGGCTGAACTTTATTTTTCCTCAGGTGTCTATCAAGTCTGTGATGATGTACTTGAATGGTTGGGCATCTCACATATATGGAGCTACATGTTTTGCAAGAATCACAAGATTCTGGGATTCAGAAGTAATAATAGAAGCGTCAAGGAAAGTGATGCATCCAAGATGTGTTATTTTTACTTTACAATATTACTCAGGATGTTAGCCACAAATTAGCTCGAAAGCAAAGGTGGAGAATATTAAGCAACTTGTACAGATTTTCAAGTGCATAGATGAATCACCTCTGATATTTGGGTTTACCCTTGGAAGAAAATCAGAAACTGTGCCGTGGAATCCGGCAACTGTGAAGGTTGAGAAAACCTTATAAGGACGTAAATGAAGTACTTGCCTAATGAAGGAAGGAGGTTTTAAGCAAAGTACAAAGTCTAGATTTTCCACGTACTACATGTCTTTGATGCACATATCCACAGCAATAGTGGGAATATTTTAAGAGAAAACAAGGAAATTTCTTGAGGGATTCAACAAGAAGAGTAGAAAGTTTCCATTGACAAGGAAGATAGCAACTTCTCACAAGGGTGTAAGAGAGCTGAGGGTCTTAACAAGGCTCCACTAGGAAAGTGGATATGGAAGTTTAGATACAATTCTGGCATTATGTAACGTGTCATAGCAGACAAATATGGAGTTTAAGAAGTGGTCAGAGAACTGCTTAGATTCCAATGCCATATAGTGGGGAGGACTATGGCAGTGTATAATGAAACTGTGAGAAGAGTTTACAGGGAATGTTAATTTCAAAATGGGAAATTCAGCCCTGGTCAATATTGGAGATAGATGATGTAATTTTTATGTCCAACACTTATCCAGCTATTTACTCAATCTCATGTCAGCATAAACTAAATGCTATTATACAGATCAGTGGAAAGAAAGGTTCTGCAGGATTGAAAAGTTGAAGAACACCAAAACCTCCTTGGCCTGTTGTATAAGCAGAGATCTCAATCACACATCAGGACACGTGGAGATGAAACACAGAATGTTGTCCTTTTCACAATAAGGTTGTTTATCATAGGTTGATGAGAAGGAGAAGGGAGAACAAATTCTCCTTTGAATGATTAGCTGCATGTGAAGTCCTAGTCACAATAAAGATTTTGAGGAAAAGGAAGATAAAACCAGATTATCTAGTCGTTATGTCTAAAAAGGCAGGGGAGGATGTGAATTATCTATTACTACAGTCAAGTGGCACATCTATTATGGTACAAGCTTGGAATTGGTTGGGTGATGCCGAGCACCCTCAAAACCATGCTACAGATGTAGGAACAGAAGGAGGAGAAGCAGAGCATTGAAATCGACCCCCTGACTAATCACTAATGTGGACAATATTGAGAGTGAAATCGACAAGCTTTAAGGAATGAAAATTACTTATGTAAAGATTAGGAGATTTCTCTTTTTCTTATAGTATATATTTAAAGTACCTATGAGGTAACAGTTAGCAGAAATGGTTGGATGCTCTTGTAAAGAATCATACTCTTATTTCAAGTTCTCTACCTTTGTTTATTTTTTGCATATTTTCCTTTTAAAGCAATAAAACTAATAATTTATCCAATAAAATAAAAAGTAAAGGGAATATATTAATACATTGAAGGGAAGGAAAAAGAATCCATTAACAACACATCATCTTTGATCTTACTTGCGCCAGACAAGGAAAGCATATTGTTTCAGGGAATAAGCAACTTAACAATAAACTAAGGCACCAGACAAGGAAAGCATATTGTTTCAGGGAACAATAAATTGAGGCGATAGCACTTAAGAACTTATGATCCATCAACGTCATTCTAGGCATACTCAGAGTTATAGATGAAAACATGGATACTGGAACAATGGAGACATCAACAATCAGATGTCATCAGGAGTTATTGGAAGTCCATATAGAGATATCAGCTCTGGAGATACTAAAAGTGAAAACAAGATTAGATGTACAAAAAGATGATAGTACTTTTATCAGTTTAGTTGATATAGAATTGTATAGCATTACGCTTAGGATCCATATTAATATATGGAACTTTTATTTTGTCCTTTTTAGAATCCAATAGGCACATTAATTACCAATTCTTAAAGAGTTTCTCATTAGCACATGTAGCATTTTAATGTGGTGTACATAATCTGTAGAGAACAAAATTTGCAGCTTTTGTTTCACGTTTTAGAATATCGCATATGCATTTCAGTCATACGTTAAAGATTGAAAAGAATGCTAGCGTCATATTTTAAAGCTGAATTTCCCAATCTGTAATAACATGTCTGAGAGTTTTTTCTTCTTTTTTTTCGATAAGGTGAGGTTAATAAAATGTCTGAGAGTTTGTTTCATTAAGGGAGATTCCTCAAGAATATAGGCATCATAATTTGGTTCTGGAACTGAGAATCAAAACCACGAACCTGAGCTTCTATCCTGTAGTATTTAAGATGCAACAATATGAGTAAAAGTGATGTTGCAACAAGGTTAAAATAATTCAACAACCATAATACTAATTAATAATGTAAAACATAGACAGAGGCATTTACAGCATGAGATGAGAATTTCACGAAAGCAAAACCCCGATTCCGTTGCTTCTGACCAGGTTGGACATCTCCAAGAAGTGCAAGATCAACAGATACAATATCTGGAAAAGCCTAGAGAGAGAAAGAGAGAGAGATGGATATTCAAACAATATTTCAAGAGATTAAGAAAAGTGCACTGTGAGCAGTTAAAAGGTGTACCTGGCGCACAATACTCTCAAATTCCTCGCCACCCCAACCTTGAAATAGTCCAAACAAGCAATAAGGAAAGCACACAAACAAAGAAAAAGTGTCTCTTGCTCAAGTGCCAGAAAACAAAAGTAGAAGGAAGATGATTTAAGGCTAAAATTCACAACTCCAGAGAAGAAAATGTATCCTAATAAACTACAAGAGTACAAAGCCCAAAATGAATGAGAAAAAGAAAAAGAAACAATTTAACTGTCAAATTCATAATCCAGATATAGAGTTTACTGTAATAAACTACAAGCGTGAAAAGCCAATTATTATATAGCACCTGCATAACCAGAGTAGCAGCAAGACAATGGATATTTATGAAAGATCAGCCCGTAAAATTATAATATAATACTAAGTCCTTGTATGTTCAACATATCTTCTATGTAATGGCATCTTCTATGTATTGTCATTAAATAACTTCTCCAGTGTCACAGAAAGACCCTAATTAAATCAGGCAATAACTCTTGGACAACAAGATTTGCAAGATAAGACGAACCTTTGTTAAGATTTCCAAGAAATAAAGTGTCCTGCTCAACTGAGGGGCGAACCCCGATTTTCTTCCCATCCAGCTGAAATAATAGCCACAAAACAAATCTAATATAATAGGGAGAGAAAAAACCCACTGTTCAACAGGATACAAGCAACCAAACTCATAGCAGGATGACAATCTTTGAGAATCTTCCAAACATTTCATACTAGGAGAGAAGTAACTTTATCCAGTCACCGAGTTTCAAACCGTGAGCAACTGGCCCTCGGGGATTTCTCGGTCATCAAAAAAAAATTAGTAATGGGTAATATGAGCCGGATAAATTGAACATTGGTCCATGAAAACCATCTTTATGCCATTAATATAGTAAAACTAACTTAATACATTGCACAAAAAACACAATAAAGTGAACAAGGAAATTCCCCATTTCCCTGACAGTAGACTAAGTAAAACTTGAGAAGTGAACATATCAATCGTATGCATAAAGCTTATTGATGACATTTCCAATACTTCTCAATTTGAGGCATAAAAATAATACTAGTACTCACCAAGCTTGTTAAAATATACAATGACTTCAAGGTCCCTTTAGAGGCTTTGTTGAGATGTTTGTTAGTTGTTCGTGGAGATAACAGATTCAATGACTATTTCCTTGAAAAGAACCTTTTTACCCAAATAAATTGGCAGGCCACATATATGCTCAGGTGCTTCATGAAAAATCGAATAGAGGTTGTGCCCAATGCTGCTTGATTATCACAACATCATCTTATTCGTTTAGCGCCTCCAAACTTCAAAGCTATAAGCAATTGTATAATCCATAGTAACTATAACCATGGGTTGAAACTTGCCTTATGTGCTAAAAACAACGTTATGCTTCTTAATTTTCCATGATATATAGTCACCAGCAGAAAAGACATAGTATCCAGATATAAATAGTTGATCAATAGGAGAATCAACCCAATTTGCGTCAGAGTATCCTACATCTTGAGAACTTCAGTTGTCTTTGCATCAGAGTTGTAAATAGTGCTCGCCTCAGCGCTAATAGCGTGAGGCAATGCGATGCAAGCCTCCGTCGCTATTTGCCTCTGTTGCGTGGCGATTTCAAAAAGGTGAGCGCCTCTGCATGTGTAGCGAGAGGCGCCCTGTAGCGTCGCTTTTTGAAAAAAAGAAAAAAGAAAGAGGCAGCAGACCAGCGATTAAAAGAAAAACTAAGGCTTCAGCGATTTCTTCTTCTTTCTCCTTCAAGTCGACCCAGACCCCAGCGATTTCTTCTTCAAGTTTCTTTATCAGGTATGCTTCTCTTCATCTCTTTTCTTCTTTCTTCTTCTCCTTTCTTCTTCTTCGAGCAATGTCCATTTTTTTCTTTTTTTTTTCTTTCTTCTTTCTTCTTTCTTCTTTGTTCTTTGTTTCTTTCTTTCTTCCTTTTTCTTCTTCTCCTCTTCTTTTTTTTTGGCTCTGTTGTTTTAGAGCACTGTCCAACAGCTGTTTCTTTTTGGCAGAGAGATTTCTTTCTTTCTTTCTTCCTTTTTCTTCTTCTCTTCTTTTTTTTTTATTTGCTCTGTTTTTTTCAGCAGTTGTGTCCCGCAAATGCTCTGTTTTTTTAATTGATATATTTATTAATATATTATTGCTATTGAGTATATATATATATATATGCAAATTTAATATTTTATTTTTTTATTAATTGTCGCTTCACATCAAAAAGGCAAGCACTTCGCTTCTCGACTCAGTGAAACGGGCCCTCATCGCTATTTGTCGCCTCACGCTATCCAAAACACTGCTTGGTGCTTTGCATAGTAACATTTAGCTTGGTGCTTTACTATTGTGTCTTATAGTTCATACAACAGCATCCCAATAATCAGCGTTTGGAGAGCATGAATTGACAAACTACGACCACAGCAAAAGAAGGGCCTGATATGGTAATAGGAAGGTAGTTTAATGCACCAACCAACCTTTTGTTACCTGTTAAGATCTACATAGGCTCCCCCTGATATGATAGGGGTTTACTATTTGGATCCATGGAACTATTAATACGTCTACGGTCTATAACTATCAATAGGTCTTTAGTCCAGTATACAGTTTTTTACTAGACTAACATTACACTATGTTATCGAATATAACAGATAATCTAATGAATTGTACGTGCAAAGCCCTTTATTAAAGTTTCTACGTCCTACTCAGATGTACTACATAATGCCCATAAAACTATTTGCTACTTAATTTTTTTGATGGAAAACTATTTGCTACTTAATTTTTTTGATGGAAAACTATTTGCTACTTAATTAATAAGTAAAGAGATATCCTAACAAAACAAAGGCGTCCATAGTTGAACAAATACCAAATTAGGTGTCCATAGCTATCCAAAGAACGAAAAAGAAAGTAAAAAGGAAAAAGAGAAACAAAAAACATAGAACAAATCAGTTGCTCCAATTGCTGGAACAAAAATCATGTATCCAACTCGTGAACTTTCAATAAAGCAAGATGTGTAATTCAAGCTTATCTTCGTGAAGAAAAATATTCAAGTAATGAGCTAAAGTGTCACAATGTCAAGAAATAGTTATACAGCAATCTTTTATTCTAGGGGAAAATCTATATTCTAAGTAAAGCGCGACTCTTTTTAATATTCTTTTACGAGGACCAATTGCCGGCTAGTCTGATAGAGTTTTGTCTAGGACTGCTAGCTGTTTTTGTTGTGTTTCACATTTTTGCTGTCTTTCACATTGTGGCCTTTCCATTTATTTGTTGTATTTTACGATGCTGATACTATTTTTCTGGTTTCTGTTACTGTTACGGACCTATTGTCCCTGAGCCGAGGGTCTCCCGGAAACTGCCTCTCTATCCCTCCGGGGTAGGGGTAAGGTCTGCGTACACTCTACCCTCCCCAGACCCCACTAGTGAGATTCTACCGGGTTGTTGTTGTTGTATTGAGGACCAATTCTTGAATCAACAGAAGGCAAATCTTTGACAATGATGTAAGCCTTCAAGTAAAAGATTCTGTTAGTTACTAGGAATATTATACTATTGCTTATAATTCTCTATATTATCCAAGCAAGTGGTCGTCTTACGTACATACATGAGCAATAAGAGCATCACAAATGCAAGTTGATAGGAATAAATGAAAATGTAAGAGTTTATCAAGACAAGACAATGAAATATCTAATGCATCTATCGTGAGGCTTTTACCACATATCCAGATTTTTCCTTCAGAGCTTTGTCAGCAGCATATTTTGTTGCAAATCGTANGCACATAATCTGACACAAATACAGAGTGATAATGTAAGATAGTTACAATCATTGACAATAAGAAGTCCAGCTCTAGTCATATTTTTCTTACCATTATGTTCCTGTAACCCCTAAACCCGAAAACACCAGCTTTTGGCATGGGATTGGTTTGTTAGTTTTTTAAAGATAAAAGTAGAGTCAGGAGAAATAAATTTGCAACTGCATAATGTAATTAGGTAAACTGATCTACCACAAAAAAAGGCATAATTAATTTTAACAATTTCCCCTCAAGAGAGAGGAATAAAAGAGACAACCAATAGTGGTATCATATAGTGTATTTAGAACAAAATGATTATTAAAAGTAGAACAATATCCATTTTGTAATGTAATTCCTCAGAATAACAATTTATGAAATAACGAGCAAAAGGAGCAATTGTTTGTGTCATTAGCATAATAAGGGGCTTTTTGTGATACCTAATATATGTTCATGAGTAAGGGTGACAATATACCTAAAATTGTAGCATAAAAAGGTAAAGTCTCTACCTACTGCTTGGATTCGAGGAACTTGCCTCAAAAAAAGCATGATCTGTTTAAAATATGACCCAACACAAGCCCTCAAAGACAGCAGAAAACTAGACATCCCTAGAATTCAGTGAATTTAACCCTTTGACTGAATAAGCAATCTAACCTAACTCTAATTCTTCAAGACAATAGGAGACTTAACTTAAATTATTAGCTAGTTTAACAGACTGGCTAGACTATCTAAGGTGAGAGAACAGTATGAGCAACACCCACACATAAGGCAACAGTTTGAAGGATCAATCAGAGTTATGAAGGAGAGAGGGAGTCCGTCTATCTACTTTCCTTATCCTGGCTATGGAAGCAAGGCCATGGAAATACATTAGAAAGTTATGGGACGAATTCCAAAGCCATATTTATCCTGAAGTGGGAAATTGTATGAAGACAAAATGTTGGCAAGATCTTTGGCTTGGTTACACTTCTGAGAGATAAATACCCTTGATTTATTCAGGTTTGTAGTGTATCCTGATGCCATGATACTTTAGGGTAGAGCAAATGGTACCTAAATATAAGGTATTGTGGGGATTGGATATTGAGAGGATGATTTCTTTGCTAGGAAAACTTGAATACAGGACACAGATTTCTGAAAAAGTGAAACGGCTATATTAACTTTTAGTAAGTCATACACACAATACTATCATAATCTGCTGAAAGGTGGAAGAACATCCAGCGACTGGCCTTTGCAACTGTTATGCAAGATAAAGCTCCACTCGAGGTCACATGCTTTAGTCGGATGCTTTACATGATCTATGCCTCACTCAAAGATGACAAGAGAATGAGATGTTTTATCCCATGTGATAGGTGTTTTACGTAAGACAAGGATATCGAGGATACTAATCATCTCTTCTACATTGTATAGTGGCAAGGGAGTTATGGGACCTTTTCTAAAAATCTAATTGGGATCCATTGAGTAATGCAAAGGACTCTGAATATACCTATCTCCATGCAGCTGGTAGGAACACATGAAAGACTGCACAAGATTCTGTTTACAATCCCAACATGAATCGTGTGGACTCTCCCCAGTGAAGCACCCGGATGTGGTTTAATGGTGAAACTTACCCTAGTCATATACTGATCTATAAGTGTTTAACTGACCTTGTTTTGGCGTAACAAAAATTTAACATAATGTCATTTGATAAGTTCAAATTTGTTAACAATGTAGATAACACATTCGTTTTTACAGGACTTCCTTTATGTACTTTTTGTAACTCAGCAATTGCTCAGTGCTGACCCAGTTAATAATGTTAACTTATTTTATCCACACAAAAAAAAAAAATAAACAAGCTCAATGTAAAAAAAATAAACTTGAAGAACCAAAAAGACAATGTAACATAAATCTGAAACAAACCTCATGAATTTTGCTTTCAGTAGTAGTACGGGCCAAACCACCAACAAAAACCTCTGTCCCTTTCATGTCCTGTTCTGCTCCGCCAGAAAAAGAAGTACAGCCCATTAAAAGTCAAAACCACCTTTTTCTAAACAAAGTAACATGCAAAACCCACATTGAAACCTTGCGTAAGAAGGGAATTGAGAACAAACAATTACCTTCCCTCCATAAGAGAGCCAGATAAGGAGTCTATACGAAAGCACATAACTACAGATCATTCAACATCTTCTTACTGTAGTGACCATTTATTATTGGAGATGTCTAAAAGATCACAATTTGAGAACCAACTTCTAGTGAATTACTATATAAACTACATAAAAGTGCGTTTGCAACTAAAAAGAAATTAAAAATATTTTTTTTAAAAAGGGGGCCTTACTATTATTTGCTAGGTGATGCTCAATCAACCGGCTCATCTTCAATGGAACGGGATGGAGCAAATCTCCCAGTGAATCCGAAAAGACGGCGTTTTCAGAATTTTCAGGATTCTACCAGTAATGAGCTATGCTGAGGCTGCTTTTGTCTACAATTCAATGATTTGCATTAAAAACACTGCAGTAAAATTCTCAGTTTCACTTTGGGGAAATAAATTATGGCAGCCCAACTCGTCTGTAAACAAATATCACATAGGTGGTAACTTTTTGTCCAACTTTCTTCTTCTCCCAACTTTTTGAGTGAGGTATTTTAGTGGTCATAGGAGCATTGATAACTGTATGAATTGATTCTATAACAAATTAATTACCTTAGCCGCTGGGAAAAATTGAAGTCTCCAATGAACTCTCAATCCACGGGAATTTGGAGCAATTTGGAACCCTAAGTTTTCAAATCAGATGTTGCTGTTCGGATCTTCCCAGCCTGAGTTTTCAGCCTATCATACTCTTTCCTATATTGACTACAATGCCCTTTGTCGTGTGTTGATTAGCAAAATAATTATTTTATGTCTATATAACATTTATTCATTATAAAAATCGCATTTCTTTCGGAATTAATTTTTTATGTTATATTTAACCTCAACTTTTTCTAAAATTACCCTCTATAACATCATTATAGAATTTATAAGATTACCAATAACAAGCCTAAAAATTTTAATTTGTATTAATTTTTTAAAATCTTTAATGCACAATTATAATAAAAATATTATATTAGTGCATGCTTTCACAATTAAAGATTTTATTTAGATTAAAAGGTATGCGTGTATATTTTTATTTCATTGCACAAAAGGTTCTATCATGCACAATGTCTAATATTTAAAGATCTACAAATACAATCTTTTTCATTGGAATATATTTTCATCTTGTATAATGATTAAGATTCGAAGATTTGCACGTATCTTTTTCAAAATTCTTCCATCAATCTTGAAAGAATTTAAATTTTTTAGTAATTTTATAATGCGTGCCTTAAAGTTTAAATCTTCGTATATTTAGTCATGGATTTATTAATAATGTATTAATTGTCTGTAATATTTAATTAGTAAAATATACATATATTTTGAGATTTTAAATTTGAATAATTTGACAAGAGTGGGTTGCTCTAGTGGTGAGCACCCTCCACTTCCAACCAAGAGGTTATGAGTTCGAGTCACCCCAAGAGTAAGGTGGGGAGTTCTTGGAGGGAGGGAGCCGAGGGTCTATCGAAAACAGCCGGAAAGAATATTTTTTTATAATTTTTTCTATAACAGCCAGAAAATACTTAAACTTCGAATGATGTTATAAGTGTGTAGCGACCATTAACCAAAAAAACCTAAAAATGGCAGAATGGTCTATCGAAAACAGCCGGAAAGAATATTTTTTTATAATTTTTTCTATAACAGCCAGAAAATACTTAAACTTCGAATGATGTTATAAGTGTGTAGCGACCATTAACCAAAAAAACCTAAAAATGGCAGAATAATGCTATTATAGAGAGCTTTGATTGTAATCACTTTTGGTCTCTTAGTTATTGACAAATTACGATTTTGGTCAGCACACGTAACCATCCATTAATTAAAATGTGTATTCTTATTTTTCTTATGTAGGAAATATATTATATTATGAAAAATCTTTAAATGCTTTAATATTAAGTATTAAGCTTCATGGTTATGATTATATGCCGGGAACAGAACTTATATGTATCTATTACAGGATTTATTATAAGCCTCTATATACTTTAAATCCTATGTGCAAAATTAAGAATTTCAAAAATGAGACTATTCTTATAGAAACTAATTTTGGTAAATATAAAGTTACTACCAGAAGACCTATTAAATGGGATGAAATAAATTTTCTCAAAGAATTGTCAGACAAGTAAGGCTTGCTCAGTTAGTAAAAGCACCTCCACCCACGACCGTTAGGTTCTGGGTTCGAGTCACGCTGGAGGGAAAGTATGGAAATACTATAGATCCTCCTAAATAAAAGGGGGGAAATTGGGTCATTGAGGAAGCAATAGCTCCTCGAAATGACACTAACAGTGAAATTACAGAAGTTGAATAAACTTATAATATCAGTTATTCATCTAGATTAACTAGATCAAATTCCTCTTATATTTCACTTATTGATTATACTGTAGATTTTCTATCAAGAGCATCTACATCACAAATTAGAGAAAATAATAGAATAGATGTCATAAAAATTAGTACTAATAATATTGCTAGTGCTATTCCCGATCCAACTGAATCCGAAATGGATTTTTTCGATGGTTTAAATGGATAAAAACCAAATAGATTTTAGTCCCGGTTCACTGGCAAGAAAATTAATTTCAGAAGAATTTAAAAAACCCACATGTCAGAAAATTGTTTTTTGATAATTTTAATGAGAAATTAATAAATTTCTTCCAAAATAATTTTTATAACGATATTAGTAGCCACAATAAAATGATTGCTTTTGTACCATGGTTTATGTCTAAATATGTTGATGGTTATATTTTCATGTTAGAAATAGATTACAAATTCGCTAATGGTGAAATTACTAAATCGGTTTTTTCCCCACAAAGCTCTTTCAAATGGGAGAAAAAATAGGATAATTTATTTTATAGTTTTTTCAAAATTATTTGAAGATGATACTGAAAAATCACTGCTAAGAATTTGAATATTATGCTTACGCTGAATAATTATACTAATATTTATATTAGTATTTATGGGTGAATAAATTATTTTCATTAATGAAAAACTGGACAGATTAATAACAGAAGTCCAGAAAATATCTAGGAAAGATACTACAAAA